AATCGCAGCCGCCGCACGGACACATCCCTGGGCTGAGACGCCGAAAACAAACGCCACCAGTGATAACACTGGTCAACACACTTTTTCTGGCATAAGGTATTCCAACGGGTTTAAGGTAATTTTGGGGTGCTGATTCCAAATCTGGCATCAGTTTTTGCCTATCACATCAGGTTTTTGAGATATCAAATATTGCATTTTCAATAAAAACTGCAGAAGAAAAGTATTAAATAAATGTGGATATCTACATAAAATTATATTATAAACACACTATCCTAAAAGTACAGCACCATATTTTAACACTAAAGCAGTCACTGACTCGCAACAACTTGCAATCATAAGTGACAGAGTTAATTTTGGGTAAAATCAATGAAAATGGGGTATGCCGATAGCATAAAAATGAGATGTGATAGAGCAAATCTGAGATCAGATTTGGAATCAGCACCCTGAAATTAGTCTAAAACAGCTGCAAAAGTCCAGGCCAGAAAAAAATGTTTTTTTTTGTTGACCAGTGTTATCTAAGGGATCCTTTTTTTGCCAGTATCAAAATGATGTGAGAACATATATATAATAATGGGTTTCAGCCTTCCTGGCAATAAAACGGATGTTAATGTGTTCAAACACCAAGGCATCAACGATCTGCATTCGCCACACATATACTTGTGGGGAAAAAACATGCACACACAAACATGCCGTGATAATATATGCATTGTCGCTGATGTCTTGCCATAGGTATCTATGTGGTGTTTGAACATCTTACCACTTGTTTTTATTGCCAGGAAGGGTAAAGCCTATTGCCACCGGTGATATCTTCAATGTGTGTGAGCCGTGAACACTTGCTCGATTCTTCTTCGTCTGGCTGGATGACCCGCAAGTTTCGGTCGACGTCCAGATGAGTTACTCAGGAAATTGCTTTGGTCGATGTGCAGTGTATTGCTTCAATATCTTCGTTGAGTTTTCAGAGTTTAGAATTGTTCACGACTGTGTGATCTCACACTGAGAGTCACACTCACATACAACCTCATAGACATAATAACCCATAGACTTGCGTAGAATTAACAGTGGTTCACTACTTTGTGGTCAATAATGGTCTTTTCGATGTTTCTGAAATGACACGCCGGGCTTTATTTGAATCTCTACTTGTGAGGGCCGTAGTGGGATGATTGATCGAATGTCGTATCTAGATTCAATCCTGAAGGTTCCTTAATGGGATCGGTGATCAGGTGCTGGTTCAGGATTACATTCGCTTGCAAGGATATTCATGAAAGCATCACGTGGGCAGTCTTTTCACTCTGCACAAAAGCCTGCTTATTAATTCTAACCTTACTCCCTCACTTTGATACTGCTAATCCTACATAATGCATGGGCATAATGACTTTAAACCCCTCGCCAAACTTCCTACGCATTTCACAAGTAGTACTAATCGCATATCTGCATTTTCCATAAATATGCTAAATTCCTCTTGATATGCAAATTATTTTGTCAAGATGCTCTTCGCCCCTCCATCCCAGCATAAATAGTCGCTCCAAGCCTGCGGCGTGCCATTCAGACTCTGCCTTCTCGACAGACCTGTTCTCCACCTGAAGACGGCTGCTTGCGTTGTGGCCGAAACGTCGTGAGAATTATTTTATTATGTTTTATTTTTATTATTTTATTATTTTCCTTCTACGTGACTTTACCGAAAGAACCAATAATAAAAAAAAGCCTGCTTCTTGCCATTGGTGCCTTCTAAGGCCTCTTCCGAACAAAAGTTTGGTAAATTTTGCACGACTGCACGTTCACAGCCAGTGGCACGGCTGGTGTGTGTTCGGAACCGATCTAAACATCTACGAATATAACTAACGTTAAAACCATGGAGAAAAACCTCGAGAAACTTTGAAAACCAAGATATATTTTTCAAACCAGTTTTCTGAAAACACAACAAACTCACTCATCAAGCAAGGCGAGTGCTATTGACGTTCTCTGGAACCTAGAGAAATCTGAATTTTAAAAAACGCTCAAAGTTCACCACGAGACAAACATCTGTAAAACTGTTCGTACTAAATATCTTGTCAGTGCACGTTCAGATCTGAAGGTAAATACTCTTATCCAGCATCACTTGCCTATCTCTTCTATTTAAGAGCGGTAGTGACGGTGATAATGCCGCACAAAGGTCACAACTCAAGCGAGCACACAGAGCATGACCTGGGCCCCGCTGGTTTAATTACGGTTAACTATTGGACATTGTTTAAATATACAAAACACACATACCCATATGTACAGTGCAACAACAGTGGTACAGATGCCCCATAGCCTTTACAGGACTGCTGTTAGCGAGCATCTATTTAGGACGGCATGTATGCATGTTGAACTTATTTCGCACAATAGTAGCCACCGTGCTAATCGGAGGTGCGAGGGAAGGACAACAAACTAAACACATTGGCGCGCGAGGGGTGGTTTCACTGGCACCATGCCTCTGTCTCCCACAGTGCCGTTATTTTAAAACCTCACTGGGTGCTCATTTAAGGCTGAGCCAACCTAGGGGATGCCGGGGAGCATTTCTCCAATCACTCGCCACTGATGTTGTTGGCGTTGGACTTGGCCGGGAATTGAACTCAGGTGCCGGGTTTGTTGCACACTGCGCGAACCATGCCTCCACTGCTCTCCCACTGTACCACACTTACATACACAACACAAAAACAAAGAATCCTCCATATAGCCTTAGCAGACTGTTGGAGCAAGTGCTGCTAGCGAGCACCTATGAAGGCCGGAACAGCACACGAGGGCGTGGGAGGCCAGCACCACGCCCGGCCGCCTTTGTCTCCCTAGTGGCGATATTTAAACACTCCACCAGGTACTCATTTGCAGCTGAGTCGACCTAGGGGAGGCCAGAACCGATTCGGATAATCGTCACTGGTGTTGGCCGTGAGCGGGAATCAAACTCGATTCGCTTGGTTTGTAGCACAGCGCGCTGACAACTGCTACCCTACCGCTTCCCTACACAGTATACAGACCACACACACGCACACCAACATTTAAGGTAATTTGTTAGCGCAGTCTACTTTTGTGGTGCTGCGAGCGAGTACCCACGATGGCACAAAGTGGGGATGATGGGGCCAGCGCCATACGACGGAGGCCATGAAAAACAGACATGTCCTACATGAAAAGAGTCGGGAGTTTGATCAAGCAACAATTCGATTAAGCAGGCCAAGTGTTGTGTTTATACCGGGTCAGTCAAAAAGTGTTTCAGCACTGTAAGAGAGGTGTGTGCCATGGTGAGAGAAGTTTAAACATTCTCTGTGCCTCCAGCGCAGGTGGAGTTTGTTTTGCCCGTGTGCACTTTAATCAAATGCCGAACCCAAAAAACTGTTTCGTTAAAAAACATCCCAAACCCTACCCTCACTAAATCATCTCAATCATCATCAACCATCGTAACGTGGAACCAAGGGAAGTGGATACAAAACGAAACCAAACGAACAACAAAATCTAAAACAATAACATCAACAGCAGCCATCGCGGGCAGCAGTGACATTGACCGCCAAGGTGATGGGCCCTCCCGTGGCACGCGAGCCGACCGTGAGAGGGCACCTGGGAGCCACGGGCTCAGAGAGCGGCTCGGATTGCGCCACGTTTGGCACAGACGCTTTATCCAGGTCATCGGAAACCCACGCGGCTCCGCAGAGACACCACCGCCCGCTCACGATCGATGCAACGTTAAGAGGCGGCGATCAGAGCGAGGGGGTTAGTGGCGCCCGTGGAGACTTCTCACCATTTAAACCCGGACGGGGCAAAGTTGATATTGTTTACGTGGATATTGGTCTCGCATTACCTCATAATTAACACACCGTTCAAAGTGGCCTCTTTGAGAAAGTGACAAAATGCTTTTTTATTTTTCTGCTGGGAGTTGTCTTCGTGTGTGGCATTTTGGAATGCGGTATTTGTCGGTAGTTCGTGACGCAGGCTGTTGTTGTTTTTTGACGTTACGGAACACAGGCCTGATCGGGCATCATTTCAGCGGCGTGAATTCCACAACGGCAGTCTGTTAACGGCATGGCCCATACCCGCACGTTTATATTCTTATCCGATTTCTGCCGCGAGACAATTTTAATCGACCACGCAAGGGGGCCCATCTCTGGCAGGGCTTTTTCAGCACGATGCGAAGTGTTAACGAGGCCACAGCTTGCGAGCGATGGCTGCATGCCACAGCTCCGAGCGCAGATGGGACAAGCTACTCGAATGCCATGACATTTCGATCAGCAAGTTGTTTAAAGTGCGTCATGCAGATGTTCGAGGCCTGCATAGGCCTTAATATGTCCGCCAAATACAATCCGAAAAGCATTGCATGTGCTACTATTCTATTATATTTCGGATTTATATAGCGTCCTTTTCAGGGTGCTTTAAAATGCTGGATTAACTCTCTTCATGATCAGAATGTGATGTTGTTATTGTTGACATTTCCATAAGATTAATGCACCACTTGTAATCTGCTGAAATGAAATGTCTCGGCTTTTTCGGTTAATCCATGTCTGACGTTCATTCAATAGCAAAGGTAACAGCCATTCGCCTCCAGAAGTGCTCAAGTTTCCACTTTATCTACGTCTTCTCTTTATCTACGGCTTCTCATTACAACGGTTGCAGACTACACCAGCCAGTTTGACGGTCACAATGGCGACATGCCAGGTCCATACGTGGCATCGCTTTGTGTAATGTTTAAATACCGATGGTAAAGCGAACAATTCACTCCGTGTCTTTTCTATGGTGCTGAGCTCCAAGGCTCAAGTTTCTACGATGTTTGTGACACAAATATCGCGCCGTTGAGAGTCGTTTCACAATCGTAGTTTTTTGCCCGATTCTGTTACGTGCCTTTGGAACAATGGCCAATGACGACAATTCCGCTGCATTCTTCTCACTTAATGGCAACTGTTCCGTTGTGCGCAAAGCGAGGCAGGGGGAGATGAGTGATCCGAACTTCTCATAACACACGCGGCACGGAGGACACGCGGTTCGGACAATGACACACGCACCTTGCTCGGAAGCTTGGCGGAGGCGTACGAGGCATTGCCGCTGATATTTTCTTTGTCAGCTATGCCTGGACAATTAAAATAGTAGGGGAAAAAAACGCTGAAACGTTAGAAACAGTCAATATTTTTAATCCGTGTAAAATGTTAATTTTCTCACCATTGCATGGCTGAAGCAGGAGCAATATAAATGATTTAATGCATACAAGGGGAATGATGCTGCGGTGGTTCGCACACTGTGCTATGAACTCCATGACCTGAGTTTGAATGCCAGCCAGGGCTAAGATCAGTGGCGCGTGATCTCTGAACCAATCCTGGGACAGCACTCCCCCTCCCCCACCCACCCACCCACCTTCACCAACCTGCACTGACCAGGATGGTGAAGTATGGTCACACAACCCCCATGACCAACAGTATTGGGAAGTCTTCTTCTAGCAGTGGATTCGCTGAAGGGCATCATATGCATTGACACCATGGCTGGAAATTCCTTTTCATCTGCCACGGATTCTCCACAGTTACCAAATACAACTATTGGAACTGGCGGCACGTGGCTTGTATTGGACTGTACATTTCTCAACATACAAGTGGGTTTAATACAATTTATTAATCAGAAACATGAGCCGAATGCATACAAAACGGTGGCGAGTTTTCTTTGTCAAATCAACATGGGAGGGAGCGATGCTCATCTCTCTTTGCAGGGCTGAGCCAGTGGTGTAAATGACACATTCTTACGGCAGGGACTAGTCACTTTACAGGACAACCACTGTCAGCTTCCCACAGAGTGGTATCGATTTTATCAACTCCACGAGGAATATAAGCATATACCAATTCAAAATAAAGAAACAGTCCTATTTCCGATCCCATAATTGGTCCAAATAATCAACATTGTACTTTTAAAAAATCGTGGTGTAAAACTGCTAAAAATACGATCGTAAAATTAGTTTCACTCATAAATGAATAGAAAGACACAAAAAACACGGAATAACGCGGTTTTGCAATGTACATTCCGCGAGCACGAGAGGCAACACCGCGTGTCTATGAGCGGCGTCACGGCCTCGCACGTCTCGAGCCAATTCTCGCGCAGGTAAGGACAGGTGAAACAGCTGCCCAAGCAATGCCCGCCGATCAAATATTCAGCAACGGTCCCATTTTGCGAAAAGACAATACAGAAAACATTCATAATGAATGGTTTTCAAGGAAGGCACACAACGTGTGAACGGCCCAAAAAATGTGGGCAACAAAAAAAGCACTCTGCAGTCGTGTTTCAAGTGACCTCTAATCCTTCCCACAGTAAACACGGGACTCTAAAACACAAGGCTGCACGGAAACCATCCCATGCCAAAACGCACAAGAGATGTCAACCGGAAACTTATCGCTGGCAAAACATCGTGCCCACGATCGCTGCAGCCCATAATAGCACGTGGCCACAGAGACCAGGCTCACTTGAGTGGAACCGACGCGGATAAATCTGTTGGGCTGAACTGTGCGCCGTCTCCGCCGTGGATGTGTGGGCGAGCGGCCATGACAGGACGAGGGAGAGAGGAGAACGTACCGTTTCCAGGCGTGGCTTCAGTCACCCCATATGGAGGAGCGAGGAGTCCAGCCATATATTGTCGATATTTCTGCAAAGAAACACAAAGACGTCGTGGCAATGTGAAGTGTGAATCGTGGAGACATCCCGTGCGGTCGTCGGCCTGGTCTCCGCAGTCGGTCACACGACGGTAACGGAGGCTTGGTGAGGGCCTGGTGAGGGCCAGGTGAGAGCTTGGTGAGTGCTTGGTAAGGGCCTGGTGAGGGCCAGGTGATGCCGACGCTCGTGCGAGTTGTTCTTAGCAGCGTGCGATCGTGTCTCATGCACGTGGAGACCCGTCGCAGAGAGAACGCACGGACAACCCAGTTTTACGTTGGTGTCTCTAAATCAATGGACATTCAATACCGGCTCCAAATCCAATCCCAAATACATTTGAAGATCGCACTCTATGGACTCACCCCTGGCTACGTCCCCCTTCTCATCTCACTTTATTCAATTAATTCTAGATTTGAAGCTTTCGGGACTGCAAGGATTCATACTCTTTGTTTTTTCTCGGTAAAGTCACGTAGGTAAAAAATATAATAAAATAAATGAAAACAACTAAATAAAATCACGACGTTTCGGGCGCAACACAAGCATCCTTCTTCAGGTGGAGACAACGAAACGTTTGTGCTTTCGCTACGTTGTCCCCACCTGAAGAAGGACGCTTGTGTTGCGCCCGAAACGTCGTGATTTAATTTAGTTGTTTTCATTTATTTTATTAGATTGTTCTACCTACGTGACTTTACCGAAAAAACCAAAGAGCATCACTCTACTGCCCTCAATGCGATTAGCGCGGTTGGTTACGTACGTTTGCGAAAGAAGTTCAACATACAATAGATACATGTGCTCTACACTGCATCAAGCAAGGCTTTTTTTATTGAAGTCCCTTCCCTTGACAACCTGCGCTCAGTTGTAGGTTACTCATTCTCCTTTGCTGCTCCCATTGTCTGCAGCTCCCTTCTGGTCAGGGTCTTCATTCCCCTGCGCCTTTGGTTGCCTTTCGCTCGGAAATATATTTCCCCACTTTTCTGCACACCATCTTGAGATCCAGTTGCACTGACACGCTATGTACACATTGTACGGTTTTGTATTTAATAATAATTTCCCTCTGCTGCAGCTGCTACAGTCATCGTGATATTTCATTTTAAATATTAAGTTTGCTATTAAGCGCTCATTATATTTATTTTAACACTGCTCGCCTTAATTAGCTCGTCTTATTTCTGCTACACAAAAAAGCGTTTTGAACGTATTTCACAAGAAGTTAAGACCTGACGAGGGCGCTTTCAAGCATCCACAGGATACGCGGCTTGCAAAGAACAAAGATTTCCCAGCTTGTCAGAGGCGTGTGAGGTTCAGTGGGATTGAGAGGATTAGTGAGCCCGTGTCTCTTCCACGTGAGCCGCGTTCTCAATCGCCTGGACTACCACCCAATCCGTGCATGGACACGAGTGGCCGCCACGGTGGCCAGGTGTTAACTGCCTCGCTTGGTGTACAAGGAGGTCATGGATTGTTGGATCGCGACCCTGACGTCTGTATATTTGGAGTTTGCGTGTCTCTCTCTCCCCGTGGTCGCGTGGATTTCTCTCCGGGTCCTCCGGGTTCTCCCTCCACATTTAGAAACATGCGTTTTGAGTTATTCTTTGGTTCTTTCGGTAAAGTCACGGAGAAAGAAAATAAATTAAATAATAGAATACGACGTTTCGATGGCAACACAGGCAGTCGTCATCAGGTTGAACTAAATTTGAAAGACAGACACAGCTCTATCATCGCTAATCTCTCTGCTCCAGCAGACCCACCTCTCTCTTTGCCCCCCCTCTCTCTATTTAAGGCCAGACACAGAGGAATTGGGTATCTGTGTGTCTATGTTGTGTGTCTCTCTCTGTGTCTCTGTGTTGTCTCTCTCTGCTTGTGTGTCTGTCTGTGTGTCTCCGTCTCTGTGTTTTGTCTCTCTCTCAAATTTAGTTCTAACTGATGACAACTGCTTGTGTTGCAATCGAAACGTCGTATTCTATTATTTAATCCATTTTCTTTCTACGTGACGTTACCGAAAGAACCAAAGAGTAATTCCTGCAGTCACGAAAGCTTCAAATCAAGTTTATGCGTTGAGAATATTTGGCTGCTATAAATTCCCACATGATAAGCCACTTCGTTGAGCTATCATTTGTGGCCAGGTCGCTTCTGAAAAAGAGCTGTGGAGCTCAGTTGGCCTTACCTGGTGAAATAAAAATAGTTAATAATTTATAAATACTCGTTTTGTAATTTAAAGATAATACCCCGTGTGGATTATCTGTACAGCCCACACATGCATTTCAACGATGGAAAACTGTTTATTTTCGCGAATAAACGTTAATTTATTGATTCTTCTCACGGCTATTTTAGAGCTTTACCGAATCGCCAGGGTTTCCGCTGACTTTTTGGGTCGGAGGATGAGACTCAGCGGGCCGCTATGACACCTTGCATCGCCCTCGCTCCGTCTCCCGCTCCCTTTGCTTTCATGCAATACAGACACGTAAGTCTTCTATACACGATGAAGGTCCACGCAATAAAAACACATTCCTGCGGAGGGAGCTGGTAGGAACGTTGGGTTGCTCGGTCAATGGCAAGGGTCAACGGCGACGTGGTGTATTCCGCAAATATGCCCGACTGTGAGGGCGGGCACAAGCCGGCGTGAGTAGGTTAAACGTTGAGTTTTAGAAGGGCACCACGGGGTGACCAGCCCCTCCCCACCCAGCCCCACCCCTCCCACCCCCCACCCAGCCCCTCCCCACCCTCACCAACCAGCCCCTCACCACCCTCCCCTCCCCACCCAGCCCCTCCCTGCACGACGGACGGACACAATAATCCCCTGTGGGCTGGTGGAACCAGTGGGTTCCTACCAGTAACATAATGTAACAGATGACAATTCGAATGGAATTAACGTCACCAAAAATAATTAAAAAAAACGGCATTGCACACGAAATCGCACCAAAACGTTCCGGATATTAAAGCCACCTGTTCACCCTGCACACAATGATCTGCATTGAACATTAAACGGATGAGAGAGTGGCAGCCGCCCCTCGTGGTTTCAACTTTCAGTGTTACTGTGGCCGTGTGCACCGTCCCCTTAACTCCCCCCCCCCCACCCCGAACACGATGAGTCTCATATTCTTGGTTCTTTCGGTAAAGTCACGTAGAAAGAAAATGTAATAAAATTAAAAAAAACTTTTTTTTATAAAAATCCAAATTTACGATGATAAATTGAAAATAATAAAATAAAAAAACCACGACCTTTCGATGGCAACACAAGCGGTCTTCTCTCCGACTGATGAAGGCCGCTTGTGTTGCGATCGAAACGTCGTGGATTTTTTGCTTTTAATATTTATTATTTTTTACTTTAATTTTATTTTCCTATTTTTTTTTTATTTTCTTTCTACGTGACTTTACCGAAAAAACCAAGAATATGAATTCCTGCAGCCACGACAGTTTGAAGTCAAAATTTTAACGACGAGTCTCCTCCGCATTCCCCTGCACGAGACACGTGGCAGGCGATCTGTTGACAAAGCAAGCCACGGAGAGACGCCGGCTCGGTAAGAGAGAGAGAGAAAAAATTAACCCGTAAAAACAAAGTTTTTCACTATAAATCCTTTATATGCGTGGCATCGGTTTTAATTTATTATTCATTTCTGTTTTTCTTGAGTAAGAGTTTCATTTTTATCTTTATCACATTGGTATTTTAAATTAAATATGAATTATGTTTTCCTAAAAAGTGGAAAATTTTGGAAAAAATTTTTCACGAAAATAAATTGTCACGCACAACGAGTCTGTGTGCAAAATGTCAGCTCGATTGGATCACGGGAAGTGGGTTAAAAAACGACCGAAATATTTGCACGGTCGTAAGCGCGCAAGCAAGCAAGCACGCAAGCAAGCAAGCGAACTTAATATAAAGGATTTAAAAAGAAAGACGGCCCCCGTCACGTGATCTGCACGCCGGACCTGCCGCTGTGTCTTCCTCGGCGTCGTTCTTCACGCCGCGCGTTTATCTGTCATGGCAGCGCTGCACTGCATGCGAGGTTATTCACGGGGAGGCACTGACGACGCTTGCGGCGGAGGCCCGCGGTCTCGAGGGAATTCAAAGTTTGGTCCTAGCCCCCTCCCACACCCTCTCCCCCGAGTCGGATGCTGCCACTCTGCCCAGGCTGTACATGGAACGCACCTGATGACGAAGACTTGTGTTGCCTCCAAAACGTCGTGATTTATTATTTGATTTCTATCATTTTATTTATTTATTTTTATTTTTACCTACGTGACTTTAGCGAAAAAACCTAAGAGTATGAATCCTTGCAGTCACGAAAGCTTCAAATCTAGAATACGCATATACAGCCACATAAGCGAGCTCGACGGCGCATCATCGGACACAGCACTGAGTTTTTTCCTTCAGAATGAGTCACCGAGGGAGCAGTGTCATTATAAGACATCACAGCCTTTGGCCCGGCTGACGGTGATTAATATCGAAGGTGACAAATGTTTCTATCCTCATTCCCTCCAATTGCACGGAAAGCACCCTCCTCCCGACACATTTCGTACAACGAACGGCACAACCCCAGTGGCAGAACGCACCGCTGGGCCGAGTGCGCGCGCGCGTAACCCCGTGAGTCCACGTGGCACGCCGCCTGCGAGGGCAGCTGGGAGGTAAGTGGGGGTCTCGACATAGTCCCTAAGGGTTGTAACGTAAGCAGCTTTTAGCTCCGGCTGTCCCATGCTCTCTCTGAAATTTCAGATCACGTTGTCGCGATCGTACCTAATATGCGGTTGGCTAAAAGCCATCTCTGCGTCGGGCGAGCTCGTAAAGCATTCCCTGTCAATCTCGTCGTTTTTCACGTTTCCTCTGACATGCCTCCTGCATATGTCACTCTGCATTTACAAGCATGTCACGAGAGACGGGCGTGTAAGTGTAAACGTTTGTGCTCTACACTTGAACTTTTTTGGAAAACAAGTGTGTTTCACAAGTGCCCATTCAATATCTGCTGAAATAATAACTCTACTCATATTGTAGAATGGATTTATCACTAT